CTGTTGCAGAGCGTGTTTGTGTACTTGTTGTATATTACGTACCTGTTGCAGAGTGTATTTGTGTACTTGATGTAGTCAGAAGTAGAGTCAGACCAACATGGACCTTGTTGTTTTGAGAAAACTTGTTTTAGAACTTGTTCAGGATTCAAGCAACAACACTGAGCTTCTGCAACTCACACAAGGAAGTGAAGAACTAACTGTTTTGTTTGTTTGTTTGTTTGTTTGTTGCTGCAGTTCATAGTGAAGGACTCAGTGGAGGAGAACATGGTGAAGATCCAGAGGAAGAAGCAGGACCTGGTGGAGAAGACGTTCGGCTCAGCTAGCACCGACAGGAAAAGTTCTCGCGTGGACGACGTCAGAGCTCTGCTGGAGCTGTAGATGTCTGCTGCTGATCCTCTGCATGCTGCTGATCCTCTGCATGCTGCTCGTCTGGGAACGTCTGTGAGGAAACCCTCTGTTGTCCTGGATGTGCAACTTAAATCAAGTTGTTTTGAACAGAGAGGGGAGTGATCAGACAGTCTGCCCTGCTGCGGGATCACTTACAGCCAGTCATGATGTTCCTGGTGTTTTTATTCTGATCTTTTTAAAGAAGAAATGCTTACTTAAAAACAATTCTTGCTGCTACAACTAGAACTTTCAACATATTTTGAAATAAATACACACTTTATAAGAGCGTACGTTAAACCACATAATTTCATTTTCATTTGAAGCAGATCAAATCGGGCGGTACGTTAGAAGGGTGGGTGATGGTTGTGTTGGCAGAGGGACCTACTGACCCAGTTCCAACAATCCATTGGTGACGTGTCCCTTCAGTCAAACACCATCCAGCCAGCTGAGGCCTTTATTTCATTCGGTTACTCAGATTACTTAATGGTTAAAACAGTAAATGTGCTGTTTGGAAAACTTGCAGTATTTGATGTGTTTCTGTTCTTTATTTTTTTAGGCAAGTACTTTACTCTCTGTCTGGATATTCAACCCACACTGACCTGTCAAATTAAAGGTTTTAATTTTGCTCATTTTTTGTACTGTAGTCTCTCGCTACTTTGCGGTTCGACTTTCGCGGACTCTATCACGGTTTGTGGACGTCCAAAATATTACACTTTTTTTTAAATACACGATTGTGGACTGTGCAGTAATATCACTAAAGTATAAGTACTGTACAGTGTTACATCCAACAATAAAATGTCTAAGAAAAACAGTAATAACATCTAAGATATGAACTAAGAAAAACATCAACTAAATATACACTAAGCACTCATAACATAAAACATTGAACATCAGCACAAACATGAACATGAGTCTGTGAGCAGATGTGCACGCATGAACACAACATTGAAACAGATCAGCAGCAACATGAAACAGATCAGCAACATTAAAACAGATCAGCAGCAACATGAAACAGATCAGCAACATTGAAACATCAGCAGCAACATGAAACAGATCAGCAACATTGAAACATCAGCAGCAACATTAAAACAGATCAGCAGCAACATGATGTGGTTTTTCACAGTGATTATTCTAGTTAGAGATTCATGAGTCTAACAGCTTCAGGGTAGAAGCTGTTCCTCAGTCTAGTGGTTCTACACTTAATGCTCCTTAACCTCCTTCCTGAGGGGAGTGGGGCAAAAAGTGTGTGTGCTGGGTGGGTGGGGTCCTTCATGATGCAGGTGGCCCTCTTCCTGCATCTGGAGGTGTAGATGTCTGTGATGGTGGGGAGGCTGACTCCAACATCTTCTGTGCAGCCTTCACCACTCTCTGCAAAGCTTTTCTTTCTGCAGCTGTGCAGCCTCCATGCCACACGTTGATGCTGGAGCACAGGATGCTCTCCACTGCACACCTGTAGAAGGAGGTGAGGACTGAGCTTCCAGACCAGCTCGTCTCAGCCGTCTGAGGAAGTAGAGTCTCTGATGAGCTTTCTTCATCAGGCTGCTGGTGTTGTTGCTCCAGCTGAGGTTGTCATTCATGTGTACACCCAAGTACTTGTAGCTGGAGACCACTTCCACCGCAGATCCTCCTATGTTGGGGGGTGGTGTTGGTCTTTCTGAAGTCTACAACCATCATGTGGATGTGGAAAAAGTTTAAAATAATTTGGACAGGTGCCACCATTTTGTAGTTTTCTTTCATTCAGCTTCCACTGTACTGTAATCACCATTCATGAGGACTACATTTCCCTAAGTTCAACGCTGTGCTGTAACTAGTGCCTCTGGCCGCTGCTTTCTGCTGAACAGTATTTTTGCGAAGTCAAGTCATGACTGCTGAAACGGCCTTTCAAACGTAAACTTTAATTCATGTCACATGGAAAAGTTTTTTAAAGAAAATGCAGCTTTATAAACATAAGATACAAGAACCCTGCAGATGTTGGATGCTGTCTATCATGGTGCACTAAGATTCATAACTGGCTGTGATTATCGTACCCACCACTGCACCCAGTATTCACTGGTTAACTGGACATCATTAACTTCACGCAGACTCTCTCACTGGTACATTTTCATCTTTAAATCACTTCCTGGTCTGCTGCCTTCATACATCTCCTACATGTCTCTGCGTGAGTGCAGCTACGGAGTGCGCTCTCAGGACATCATTACCTGCAGTGTTCCCTCAGTGAGGACTGAACTAGACAAAAGGACCTTCTCCTACTCCGCTCCTGTTTCCTGGAATATCTTGTACAAAGATCTGAAGCTCTCGACCTTTGACCTCACTAAGTGGCTTTAAGAATCTGTTGGACTCCTGGCAGGGACCAATGCAGACATGTTCCTGTTTTTAGTTTTATACATTTGTCTCGGAATCTAGTAGTTTTTTTGGTTTTGTTACCTTTTTCCTTTTAGCCATCCTATTTGTTAAAAAAAAAAAAAAAAAAACTGTAGTATGAGTTTTTATAACTGCTTATTGTTGTTGCTGTTGTCCATTGTTGTCATCATTCTTTGTTAAATCAGGTCTCTCTTGTAAATGAGTCCTCGAGGCTCAATGGGATTTACCTGTAGAAATAAAGGTTGATTGATTAAAAAAAAACGTGTAAATCATGTGAGGACATGTCTCTCTAAGAAACAGAACATTGTGCTTTGTGACCCGGGTGCTGATTGGCTGTTACAGTAGTAGCGGGGGGTTTGTTAACCTCGAACCTTTGTTTAGTGGACGCTCACAAACGGTCAAAAGTTTCTGGTGATGGAACGGAAACGCCAGTAGAAGATGCTGACGATGAAAGAGAAAATGTAACTTCTAAGACGGTCGTACCTATGTGGATGTTGCCGGCCGCCTGCAGCACAGTTGAGATGCAAGCTGTGAATTAATGATTGAAGAAGAAAACAAATCACTTTGGATGAAAACGATGTGCATTAAAAAGTGTTTCTCTGCACGGAGAGGCAGCGTCCGCTGACGGCAGGAGCGGAGGAGTTTAACATGAGTTCAAAGACCTGATCAGTGAGGGGGTCTACAGGTCTGAACAAGTTTTTAACATGGACTGTTCTGGAAAAGGATGCCATCTCACACTTTTATTAAGAAGGACTAAGCCAAAGCACCTGGTTTCATCTCATCTTCATCACCTTCATCACTGGACAGCTATTTCTTCATCTCCGTCTCCTACTTCATCTTCTCTGGTGAGTACCCATTTAAAATGATTTGAAAGGTTAAGAGTTTAGAAAGAGTGGGAAGGGTCTAAAATGCCAGTATGTACCTGTAAATAAATACTAAAATGAACTACTACTACAGTAAACTAAAATAAACTACTTGTGTACATAATTTTGTTCCGTCCCGTACCACATGAGATGTAATGGCCATTAATAGTTCCCTTGAACTTGGACTACTATCCCCACTTCACGAGTTGTTGCAGGGTGGAAGCTAACACCTGCGATAATCCAGGGAGTGCCACGTAGATCACAACTGTTCAACATCTGTTCTCTCAAATCAAACGTCTGTTGTTTAGAAAGTATAATTGGCTAAAAATGCTTGTTTTTATGATTCAACACCAAACCAACATGACAAACAATGCTCAGTATTTACAGGCCAATAAAAAGCTTTCCCTTGGAAGTTTTGTGCTTTTATTGCGATTATACATTAATCGTCCATAAAAATCTGCCTTCTTTACTAATAAGGAAAACTTCTTTAGTGTCAGAGTAATGGTGGCTGCCACCTTAGAGATGATCTTTCTCAAGCATAGATTTAGCCACACGTCAAAAAAGAAACACATTGCTTCTTTTTCCAAGTTTGCAAAATCCCAAGGTTTACATGTAGCGAGGGAGCCATCTTTGATTTTGATGTAGCAACCCAGTTTTAAATGGTGACCAAAATGTGTGGTTGCTTCAAGGTGTTTTATTGATTGATTTTAATTTTTTGGTGTTGGCAGTAAATCCAACGGGCTGTTCGGTCCCTATACAAGCGGTGTGAGAGTGGTTCACATTGCCAGTAGTAAGTCGGACCCCTTCAGGGTGGGAGTTAGACTCCCCCAGTGCTGCCTGTTGTCACCGATTCTGTTCATGACTTATGGACAGAAATTCTTGGTGCAGCCAGCGAGCGGAGGGAGTCCGGTTGAGTGGCCTCAGGATTCATCTCTGCTCTTTGCAGATGATGTGGTCCTGTTGGCGTCATCGTGTCGTGATCTCCAGCTCTCACTGGAGCAGTTCACAGTGTGAAGCAGCTAGGATGAGAATCAGCACCTCCAAGTCTGTGGCCATGGTCCTCAACTGGAAAAGGGTGGACTGCTCTCTTCAGGTCGAGGGTGAGGTTCTGCCTCAAGTGGAGGAGTTCAGGTATCTCTGGGTTTTGTTCATGAGTGAGGTAAGAATGGAGTGCGAGATTGACAGACGGATTGGTGCAGTGTTGCGTACTTTGTACCGGTTTGTTGTGGTGAAGAGGGAGCTGAGCTGTAAGGCAAAGCTCTGCTTACCGGTCGGTCTACATTCCTACCCTCATCATGGATCATGGATGCAGGCAGTTGAAATGAGTTTCCTCCACAGGGTACCTGGACTCTCCCTTAGAGACTAGATGAGAAGTTCAGTTATCAGGAGAGACTCAGAGTAGAACCGTACACTCCTCCACATCGAGAGGAGCCAGTTGAGGTGGTTCAGACATCTGGTAAGGATGCACCCTGGGCGCCTCCCTAGGGAGGTGCTTTGAGCATGTCCAACTGGGAGGAGACCCCGAGGAAGACCCAGGACATGCTGAAGAGACTATGTCTCTCACATGGTCTTGGGACACCTTGTCCTCTCCAGGTGGTTGTGAACCTGGACCTCCCTGCTCAAGCTGCTGCCCCCATGACCTAACTTCAGAATAAGCGGAAGATAATGGATTGAGGGTGTAGTGAACTAGACCTCCAACATCAATCTGTCTCTGAGGACCTTCATGGGACAGGAACTGTTATTTCATTGATTTGAATCCAGAAATACAAATTATCTCATCAAGAGACTATTTAATTGTATCCTGAATTAATCAATTGAAAGAACACTCTTCTTTTTTTTATTATCATTACTATTTTACAATATCTTGATAATCAAAAGTGTGTTTAGTTCATACCATTTCTAATGTTGAAGTGAACCACTCATTTAAATCAACTGTGAAACAGTATTAAAGATTTTTAAACCTCATTAGACTTAGATCATACAAGTTAAATGTCTATTTACGACGTAACTGTGCATTTTAATCTTCTGTCTGAATGAGGAGTGGATTTGAGGTCGGTCAACAGTCAGAGAACAAGTTATGAGAATGAAGTGCCTTGTTTTAAAACTCT